TATTAAGTGAGGCATCACATGACCACACCCGATTTTATTTATTTATTTAAACAATTTATATGGCCACCCAACTCAGTCATGGTGACTCTTATTACGAAAATAAAAATCCCAATACAAAACCCACTCCACGCCCCCCACTCCTCTGGTGACAACAATACATTTACACTAGCCATTTGATGGGCTCCAGGTCAGCCTGGGATTCCGAGGCCCGCTGGCACAACCTACTGGCAAAACCAAAAGATTTTCTGACCTTTTTTGCTGCGGTTGTTAAGCAAATCACTGTGGTCGTTAAGTGAGACATCACGTGAGCACAACTTGTGACCTTCCCTGTCGGCTTCCCCATTGGCTTTACTTGTCAGAAGCCAGCTGGGAAGATTGCAAATGGTGATCATGTGACTGCAGGACACTGCAACTGTCATAAATGTGCAGTGGTTGCCAAGTGCCCAAATCATGATCATGTGACCTCAGGGATGCTGTGATGGTCATAAGTGCAAGGACCAGTCATAAGTCACTTTTTTCAGTGCCTTCATAACTTTGAACAGTTGTTAAATGAATGGTCGTAAGTTGAGGACTACCTGTATTACCCCATGCAAGTTGGGGGGTGCTGCAGTGCAGCGCAAAGCAGCGCTTACAACTGCAGGGGTGCTGCAACTCCCCCCACCTGCCGATCTCCCCCCAATCTATGCCCTTTTGGCCGCTTCATTAAGGTGTAGGTAGGAAGGTATGGGACGCGCAGCTTTGGGAAGGAACAGGATGATGGGACGATGGCTTTGGGGAAGGAACAAGAGGCACGGCTTGGGAATGGCACTCAGCAGCAAAGGCCAGCAGAGTGGAGCTTGAGGCAGCATTTCTCACTGGCAGCAGTGGCACTGGGGTTGAAGTCAAGGCCCGGAGGTGGTGGCAGCTGGCTGAGACTGCTGAAGGCCTCGGGCCTCTATTCCAGCTCTGGTGCTGCCACTGCCAAGTGCCACTATGCAGGACAGCCAAAAGGGCATAGATGGAGAGATAGGCAGGTGGGGGGAGTTGCAGCACACCTGCAGTTGTAAATGCGAGCAGGCTGCCAAGCACCCAAATTTTGATCATGTGACTGCAGGAATGCTGCAGTGGCCTTCAGGCACAGGTCATAAGTCCATTTTTTCAGCACTGTTGTAATTTCAAGTAGTCACTGAATGAATGGTCATTAAGCGAGGACTGTGTAACTGGATTCTCTGGCTTCTTTGTCTCTGACTTCACAGATCATAACTAAAAGCACACTCAAACATATATTAAAGAAAATTGTTTTTTAAAATTGTATATTAAGAGATGTACATTTTACAGAAAATTACAAAAATAAATGCAGCTTTTCTTGTTCTTAAAAAAATGTGGGACCTGTTTGATTTTCCTTAATACCTCTGTATTAAACATTAAATATATCAAACAGCTAAATATATTTTGTTAACTGAATTCTTTTTATTTTTGTAGGACCATGGTATGACATGTATCTTTCTTCAAGAGATCCAGTTGTTTTCAACTACAACCCTTTCATTTCTTTAAATCCTGATCCCAAACCTGGATACAATAATCAAGTAGTTAGAGCAACCAATCTTGTTGTTTCAGCATTAAAGTTTCTTAACTCCCTGAAGAATGACTATTTACGGCCAGATATATACTATGTAAACCGCAAATGGGGTCAAAGTAAAATGTTCAAACATTTCATCCGTGCTCTTCCACCAACTGTATCCTGGTATGGAGCATATCTGGTAAATGCTTATCCTTTAGACATGTCACAGTATAAATCTCTCTTCAATAGTACCAGGATACCTAATTTAAGTAAAGATACATTATTTACAAGTGAATTTGCAAGACATTTGTTGGTGATGAGAAATGGTCATCTTTATGTTTTCGAAGTACTAGATCCTTTTGGTAATATTCTACATCCATCTGAAATTCAGGCTCATTTAGCACAAATAATATTTGATGCTGATCGTTTGCCTAGTTTTGAACTTTCGTATCTCACAACTGAAGAAAGAAATACTTGGGCAAATGTAAGACAGCAACTTGTCCAAAAAGGTAATGAAGAAAATTTGAAGAAAATTGATAGTGCAGTCTTCTGCCTTTGTTTAGATAATGCTTCCCCCCAAAATGAAATTGAACTCACTCATTGTTTTCTTCATGGATATGGTTTTAATCGCTGGTTTGACAAATCCTTTAGTCTGATTGTCACTAGTGATGGAAATGCAGGAGTAAATTTTGAACACTCTTGGGGAGATGGAGTCGCAGTTCTGCGTTTTATTAATGAAGTCTATAGAGACAGTACAGAGCATCCAGCTCTTGTGCCAGAATCCAGTCCAGCTTTATTTGTAACATCTTGTGACAAGCTTGAATTTAATCTCAACCATTCAATAACATCTGCTATAAGTGCTGCACGTACAAAATTTGATGAAACATTGAAAACGTTTTGTGTAAAATCATTTAAGTATGAAAAGTTTGGGAAAGAGTATATAGTGAATAAAAACTTGAGTCCGGATGCTGTGTTTCAGCTTGCATGTCAAATGGCTGTCTATCGTCAGTATGGAAAGTTTCTTCCTTCTTATGAAGCATGTAGTACTGCAGCTTTTAAACATGGTCGCACTGAAACAATTCGTCCAACATCTGTGTACACTAAAAAGTGTGCAGATGCATTCATTGGTGAACGAGGAAAGCATAACATTGAAGATATGAGAAATATAATTGACGAATGTTCAAAGTACCATAGACGCTTGCAGCTGGAAGCTACATTAGGTTAGGTCTTTTCAATATTTTGTCATTTATATGTTTTAGCTAAGTCTTGTGATAAAGTCTATGAATGATACTTACGTGGATTGTTCAATAATACTTTATGTGTTGTTTAACTCTGTAGAATATGAAAAGGATGGGGTGTCTATTGTGGGATGTACCTTACAGAAAGGATCGTTAGGAAAGTTCACATAGTTTAACTAGTTCCTAATTCTAACCTTGTTATAGTTATAACTTTGATAAGTTATGGAAAAATATAGAATGCAGCAAGCTTTTTATAAACTTTAATTCATTTATATCTGTCTTTCCTCTAAGTAACTCAAATCATTATGCTTCCTAGTTGAATGGGGATTTGAATCCTCTCTAATCCAGTGCTACTGCTGCACTATATAGGCTTTTTTAATTATTGGAAGAAAAATGCTAAAGGACACATCTTTTTCTTTCCTTATGAACATTGTGAAAATGGATTGCTTGCCTTATTCAGTATTCTACAGTCCTGGGATTTCCTGGTGATCCCCCATCCAAGCACTAACTAGGTCTGACTCTGCTAAAATCTGCTAAGATTTTTTTCCATATCAGCCAAGGTCATCTAGGAGCTACCATCTTCTGTCATCAGGAACTGAGCTTGACTTAAGGGCTATTTTTAATGATATTAACCTATATCCACTACAGTCAGTCCTCATTTAGCAATTGCCTCATTTCGGAACTGTTCATGGTTACAACAGTGATGAAAAAATAACTTCATGACCAATCCTTGCATTTTTGACCTTTGCAGGTCTGTAAAGTAAAAGAAAATGAAGTAAGAACATAAGCACAGTTGTGGTTTCGTTTAGTAACCTCTTTGCTTAACAACCAACTTGCCAGTCCCAATTGTGGTTGCTAAATGAGGACTATCTGTAGCGACTTTTTTTAAATGAGAGAATATCATCTGTCCAAATGGAGGATAGTTAGGACACACAATATTTTAAAAGGGGATGTATGATTGTTTTATTGTATTAAATAAAAATTATTTGTATTAGAGAAAGGTTTTGTGGAAAAAACAACAATAACCAAACACTGGATTGCAGTTCTATTCGGGAATTCTACAATAGAGGGAAGGAAGTAACTTATAAGCACTACATAAACTCTGTAATTTATATCTGGATAATCCCAAATTCTGCAGAACTATATATATTTATATACATTCTCTGTCTTCCAAAAATTCTGTGGAATTTTGACTTGTGATTGTTATAATTACGAAGAAGTTCTTTTCTTTTATGTCAGTAACAGCCCATGCCTTGTGAAACACCCTTCCCCTGGGGATCTGCCAGGCCCCCACACTTTTAGCCTTCTGGAAAGGCCTGGCTTTTCCTCAGGTACTGGGATAGAGGTAAAGTTGGCACCCGAGGATTGGAGATGGTGGGTCAGGCACCTTTTTTTTTTTCTTGTTTTTGCTTATTATTCTTGTGAGCCACCCAAAGTTGTGTTTTATGAGATAGGCGGCCATATAAGTTTTTAAAGTAAATAAATAAATTAGAAGCTTTTTGCAATAATTCTACCATTAAAACTTACCTTTTTCAGCATTTGCATTTTAAATCTTCGTTTATTTGTTTTACAAGCAGGTATCTCTAGGTAACATCATCCTAGAAATACAGGTTTGGATTTTTAAAATTTATTTCTTTAGACTGAAGAGAACTATTTGAGAACCAGTTTTTAATCAATAATTGTATAGAAATTACCTCTTTCTTGATGTGAGTTCACATGTCTCCTTTACAGCTTTGTTATTAGGACTAACCATGAAAGTTCTGAAATAAGCATGTATTAGTTATACACATGTTTATATTGCTGGTAGTTGTACATGTTAATAAATATATTTAGGTACCTAAAGTTATTACCTTATTAGTGGGGAATATTTATTAGTTTCTACAGGATCTACTAGATACTGTTGAAGACAAATATGCAAATCAAACATACCACAAAATTAAAGCTCATAAACAGTGTGAATCAGAAATATTCTTCACATTGGGGAACAATTATGAGCCATTACTAAATGAAGTCCATTTTCACAAATTATATTTAAGTAGGATTTCAAATTTAACAAAAGTAAATAGTTTTGGGAAAAAACTTACCTTGGCATTTATTATATTTAATTTTTCCTCTTATTTTCTATCATGCAATAGCAGTATTCAGATATAATGCATTCTCAGCATTGTAAAAGCCAATTTGCATGTTACAAAGAATTAGCATAAATGAACCCCTTCTAATATTACATTCAATGCTAAATCTATAAGATCCATTGGTATTTTAGCTTAGAAAAGGTTTGTGAGCATTTTATACATTGCATCTGACATGCAAAATAGTATTCAATTTTACAGGTAGTGTTCGCTTAACAACCATTCATTCAGTGACCGTTTGATGACGTTGAACGAGTGGTACTTACGACCAGTCCTTAAAGTTCTGGCTGTCGCAGCACCCCTGCGGTCACATGATCTCGATTCAGGTGCTTGGCACCCAGCCCACATTTCTGACCATTGCAGTGTCCCGCAGTCACATTATTGTAACTTGCAATCGTCACTGCCAGCTTCCCACAAACAAAGTCAATGGGGAAGCCTGCAGGAAGGTGGAAGTTGCGGTCACATGAGGTCTTCACTTAATGACCCATGGTGATTCGCTTAACAATGGCAACTGGGGACTGCCCTTAGCCATTGCTAAGCAGCACAGTCATGTAATGTCGCACTTTATGATTGCATCATTTAGCGACAGAAATTCCAGTCCCAATTACCGTTGTTGAGCAAAGACTACCTGTAATTCTTAAACTATCAGTATATTAATTACATGAAACTGGGAGACCTAATTCAATGTTCCCTTTTCATTTAGATCTTTTCTGTCCTATATGTAGCATGTCACAATATTACTAGTTCTTCATTATTGTGGTCTCTGTGCAAAAGGCATATGTGTTCTGCATTTGCACTGAAACTCCATCTGGAACCTTCTTCAAATGAGATTTTTGCAGGAAGTGAATCCATGCAGTTCATGCTCCTAGGCCAAAGATACAAAAATTGGCCCACCAATGCCCCTTGGGGTCCCAAGAGCACTCCTACTTGGGTGAACAGAGCTAAGAATTTTACCTCTCCACCCCATCTTTTGGAATTTGGGAAGGTAAGGAACAAAATGGAAAGAACATTTTACCCCATCAAACCTCATCACTTACATGGAGTATAAGTGGCATTAATATAAGCAATTTATTTTCAGAGAGAAGCCTATCAAATGTTAGTTAGTATTACTCTGCTTTTCCCTCTGTCTGTCTTCCTTGACATCAATAAGTGGAGCCAACTATTAGTGTCTAAGCCAACAAAAACTACCTCTGCTAAGGGATAAACCCAGCCCACGTACCTACAGTATTAGCTGATCCTTTGTTATCAGTTCCATTTGCCATTGTGGATCATTCCAAGGATACAGAACCTGGCCAGTGTTGAAGTAGCCCTTTTGGATAAACTGCTGTTATCATCTGAACAGATTGTCCACTATGGACTTGACAATCCTTGCCCTAACACACTGCCATCTGTTCAAGATCTCTACCAGCTGTATTCAGAGAATCTAATCTCCAGAAGCCCATCTGTTTTATTTTCTGGTAGCAGCTGAATTAGACTCATTTCATAGTATCCCCATTGGATATTAATTTGGCATACTGCATTGCCCCAAACCCTTGGTCTTCAAGTAGTGTAGCCAGCTTTTAAGGGTGACACTCTGAAATGTTTTTCATTTGAAAACTTACACAGGACAACATCAGTCCTTTCAGACCTTTTCCAATTAGCTAAGGATTTGCAGCAAATTCAGCTTTTAAAGAAATGGAGAAGGTTGGATTCCAAATGATCAGGTATGCTAAGTTTTTCTCTTGGAGAATATAGCTTCTTTTCTCTTATTTAGCATACAACAAAAAGGGTCTAGGTATTGCTTTACTCTTAGAGGCTTTGCAGCTTTCCAAACAACAAATTAGTATTACAAGCGTGTCTTGACTGCACCTCTACATTCCTGGTAGAGGCCACTGAATTTTGAACCTATGCTTGGCTATGTACCACAGAGTTTTCACAGGAGGTTCAAAACTGACTAGAAGGCCTGCTCTGCCAGGACATAGTGTTATCAGCAGATTACAAAAGATTTAAAAACATTGCCTGTTGGATAGATATAGATCCAACTAACTCTTCATCCTCTTCTCAGTTTCACCCTTGGTACTGTGGCACTGGGACTTTCTTATGATAAGCAGGAGATGGCATATTGAGAGAACAGTGTAGAAGCATAGGATGCCTCTAGATGTATATTTGACACAACAATTATATCAGATGACCTTCCCTTTCATTCTAGGCTCCCTCACTAAAGCCTTGCAGGGTATTACATTGGATATTTCAGTATTGACTATAGTGGCTATGATTATCCAGCAGAATTCCAATAGCAGAATGCAATAACCATGCAAGGATGTCTGTCACACTTTCCAGCCAGCCCAACTGTATTGATTATACTTTTGCAGGAAAAGGCTCCAGCCCCAATCAAGCCTGTTCTACCATCCCAACTAAGCACTAATTTCTATTATTGGGTAGCAAAGCCAAATGGAGAGGTGCAATTAATACTAGATTTTTGTGGTCTCCAGATAAATTCAAACTGAAATTTAGACAAATAAGATTGTAGAACAACTGGCCATTCTTCTATCTAAGGGATTTATTTGCATCATAGATGTAAAAGATGTTTGCTTCCACCTAGCCTGTCACCCATACCACTAGAAGTATCTGCTTTACACTGGACAGCTCTTCTCTCCAGTTTCAGGTGCTGCTCTTCAGCGTCTCCACCGCCCCAAGGGTTTCCATCAAATGCATCTCCATCTCCATCTCCATCTCTTGGGCATTCAAATTTACTCTTACACTGATCACTGGCTTATAGCTTATTTATCTCATCTGTTGTTACAAACAAAACAAAACAGGTCCAATATATTAAGTGAAAATAGACCAGAACTCATGGTTTACACAGCAAAGCCTTTCTAATCCCTTCTTGAGTGTGACAGTGTATATCGACACCCAGTTGGATTTTCAGGTAGTATGCACTTTCTAGACTTATCACTAAGCCACTTTTCTGTCATCTTTCACCCACAACACAGGTCAACAATCTCGGATTGGGCTTCTGTTATTCAGTGTTTGCTCAAATTCATGGTGTCAATCATATTGGTTATATAGCATACCAGACTTTGGAAGTAAATCCTGAAAAGGTTGTATTTGATTGTTTTTTAAAGTGAAGTATCTATTCCAGGATCATGAAAAACCCTCACAGATGTTATCAGTTTTCAGCTAACCGCCTCCATCCTACCACAGTGCACAAAGTTCAGTTGATAGGGAAGTACCTACAATAATGTTATTTATAATAGCTCTGAATGTTCACTGTGATTGCTGTTGTAGCCAGGAGACTGAGTTTCAAGTCAGTAGAAAATGTTTTTCTCCAGAGGTGGAATGAAACACTACTGTATGCATTTTATTGAATTTGAAAGATCACCAAGATTATCCATTGGATATACTTCACCAAAATGCTTTCAGATTCTAGCGACAATTTGGTGGCCACGTCAGCTTTTTTTTCTTTCTCTATTGAATTGATCTCAGGGCTTCAACTCCTACAGCAGCACATTCTCTTAATTTTGAACATGGGAATGTGCATCATCACTGTTTTTGCTATCTTCATTTGGCAGTCTTATTTCTGTGGACAGGACTTGCTAAAAGGATGTGATGGAATTCCTTGTAAAACACGATATGACTTTTTAAGCACTGCTTATATGTCAGAAATGACCTACTGTTTCATCTTTTGTCTCCCTGACAGTCAGTGCCATGGTGGAATCTTTCCATTATGCACTCCTATCTCATAAGGAGGCCATTCAGCCATTCAAGCCATTGGCCACCACAAATCTATATCTCTTTAAATTAGGTTTCCTTGTAATGATTATGTCAGTTCACTCATATGAATTGTATGTCCTTAGAGCAGATTCTCCCCATTCCTCTAATTATATCCAGATAAAATGATACTGCAAAAGAACTGGACTTTTTTTTCTAAAGACGAGTTCAGATTTCCATTTAAATACGCCATTAGGACTTATTGCACTCTTCTCTCCAATCCAAGAACATTCTTCTTTCACTGGGTGTACAGTGACCCATCGCATTTTGTATAGGCAACATCAAGGAGTTCTGTTCTTCTCTGCCTTTAAAAAGTTTCTTTACAATATTATGCAATCTGGTATAAATCCATCATTGCTTTATATTATCAGTTGGCTTATCTCACATCTGCTTCTCTCTATGGTTTGAGAAATGCCAACATCAACTTACAGACTTCTTTTTCATGGGGTCTGGTTGGACCTCTATAAAGAAACTACTTGGTCCTACCAGCTGAAATTTGTAAGACGCTACCAGCTAGACTTTTGGCCAAGAGTAAATGCCAATTCTGGCAGAGTTGCATTATCCTCTGTGCTTTCTTAACTGCAGCACTCGACCCACAGCCTTCAAGGTTCTCTTACTTATTATCCATATATGTGGTGCACAGAGACCATAATGAAGAACAGATTGCTTAACTGTAACTGTAGTTCTTTGTCTTGTCATCCGTGCATTTACTCAGCCAACATTTTCCTTGCTGTAGGTGCCTGCCTCGGTAGGTATTCCTGATTTCTGGGCTGAAATGACAGTCTCTTGAGAACTGAGGGGAATGCAGGAGTTTCTTCTAGGAGCATGCACAGTAGGGATACACTTTCTGCCAGAAATCCCACCTACAGAAGATTTCTGGTTGGGCTTGGTGCAGGCACAGAACCCATATATTTGTTGGACAGATGATCACTCAAACAACCATAGTTACAGGTAAGCAGCTAATATTTATGTTGCCCTACATTTGCATACAATAGTTGGTTTTTGAGTGTTTGGTGAAAAACAGACAAAAAGATATTTTCATAAGCATCCTATATTCCTCTTGACAAAATTCAGATGTGCGTGTATGTGTGTGTCAGTGCTTTATTAGAATCCCATGAAAAATTCTGAAGTTTTCATATTGTTCTTATTATCATTTATGAAATAGCTATTTGGTATTTTGAATAATTTGGAAATAATGAATAAAAAGGAAGATGAAAATAGTAGATAAACAACAGAATGAGGAAAAAGGTTGGGGAAAAAAATAGCTAAAAAAATAAAATACTAAAAGCAGAGAGCAGATTCGCTGTACTAATTTATTAATTAAATTATTTATTAATTAAATTTTTCAACCGCCCATCTCCCCCCAATGGGGGAACACTGGGCGATTCACAACAAACATTAAAAACATAAAATATATAAATAAATAAAACCTTAATTAAAAACATTACTAAAAAGAAGGAGAGACCAAGAGGATGAAAAATCTGAGGCTAAAGGCAGAAGGCCTCTATGGGGCGAGCCATCCCCATGCTTGAAGTATTCCCACCCCACCCCAGGCCAGGTGGCAGAACCAGGTCTTCAAAGCCCTCCGGAAGGCCAGGAGTGAGGGGGCCAATCGCACCTCTGGGGGCAGAATGTTCCAAAGAGCAGGGGCTACCGCAGAGAAGGCCCGCCTTCTGGCCCCTGCCAGTCGAAGTTCTTTCACTGAGGGGGTCCGAAGCATGCCCTCTCTGTGTGATCAGGTGGGACGGGTTGAAGTCATAGGGGAGAGGCGGGCCCCTAAGTAACCTGGTCCCAACCCAAGGCGGGGTTTAAAGG